ATTCGAACATAAATTCCTAAACAATTCTTAATAAATTAAGCTACACAACTTAAAAATGTCCCACTTGAAGACTAATTCACTATCAATGACTCATCAACAGTGGCAACAACTCCTCATTTTTCAAAAAAAGGAGTGTAATTGAAGTTACACACAACTTCATTTTCTTAATCGGATCAATATTCATTAATATACCAGTCGAATTTTGACTCCCTTTAATATTCTGAAATGTTAAGATTTCATCTTGTTCTTCTTTTAACTAGTAACCTTCTAATAACTCTGCCAATTGTCATGTTTGTTTGGACAATAATGAGTTCATCTCATCTTTCATGTCTAAATCTCACTTGATTGACTAATCAACATGTAAAACTTCACTGTAACTTTCTAGTTCACCTGCAATACTGGAAAATCTCTATGGAGTTCTAGCAGATCTACTGGCTCTTCTGGGTTGAAACTCCAATTTTGTAAAATTTGACTCCCTTACTATTTTAAAGAAACGAACCCTTTTATGCTTGCTAAAAATATAGCCGTGTTCAACAAATTTCAACCTAGGTAGTTTCTTTTTATACTGAAGCACTTTTATTTCATTCTCAGCTATATCTTAACAATTATAAATGATGTAAAGAGTTCCAGATTTATTTTCTCAAGCAACAAGAACCATCACCAAAAGTCACATTATGACCTTCATCATCAAGTCGCCAACTGAGATCAAATTACGTATCATTTTAAGTATATGTTTCACCTTATCAATTTTCCGTGTAGACCTGTTTGACATCCTCCAACTGAGTCCATAGGTTCCCTATCAGCAATATATACGTTCCATAATTTTGAGCAACAAAGTCTTTCATAATTCCATGATGTGCAGTGGTGTAAAAAGGAGCTCTTGAATCCATCATCCAAGAATCAATAGGACTATTAATCGACAAGAGTAAAGCATCGTGTACCTCTTTAGTAACCATAATAGCACTGCCATTATTCCTTCTACTTTAGTAGTCTACAATTCTTTTTCATGTGGTCAGTCTTGCCACAGTTCCATCACTCTACGTACTTTCCGAACCTGAACTTGCTTCTACCAATCATTAACTTTATTAGAATTTTTCTCGAAACCCTTTCCCCTATTCTAGACATAAAGAGTAGAACTCGAAATTAGGACTTCTCTAGCATCTCTTCTGTAGATTTCTTCAGAAAGAATAGTATGACACACATGATTGAATTTCAATTTTGCATTGCCTATGTCCTATCTATTCGAAAGTAATACCAATAGGATTAATGTTCAGACCTCACCATCAAATTTAATATCAACTGAGACCAACTCATTAATGACTGTATTTAGTTTATTGAGATGTTTTACTGCTGGAGAACCTTCAACCATCTTTAAATTAAATAATTTTTCATCGATGCACCTTATTACATGCATATGGCTTCTCATACATGTTGGACAATACCTTCATCAGGTCCACTATGGTTTTCTTCGTCGCCATGTTGTGACTAAGGTTATTTGATAGTGTCAATGGATAACACCCAATACTTGACGATCAATGAGTTTTCAATCATCGTATTCTTACCAACTTTTCATTTAGAAGATGATGTTGCATTTTTTCATTATACAAATAATTCTCGATCTGCATGCTCCAGAACACAAAATCCATACAATCAAATATGTAGATCCCCAACTATGTTCCTTCTTAACCTATCATTGCTTTCAATTAAAACCAAAAGTTCTGATATCAATTGTTGAGAATTATAAACCCTTTTTCCACTCCTTCAAGAGCTATCAATTTAAATAAAGGAAAAATAAACAATCAAGGACATTAAGATTTAGAGAGGTTAGTCTTAATATAAGACTACGTTCTCTTCTGTCGTCACTGTGAATCACTCTAAAGAAAAGAAGTTTGCAAGAGAAAAATTACACATCTATTTTCTCTAACCTCTCTTTCTTTCTCTATTTGATGGTTATAGAAAACCCAAGGAAGGCTCCTTATTTATAAAAAAAAAAGGGTAAAACCAAATTTCACAAGGACTCCAACTTCTTAATAGGATTAGACTTTACAACTTAATAATTATTATGTCTCCAATTCCTTAATAAAATTTTATAAGAATTAGGCTCCTCAACTTGACAATAATTTGGACTCTAATTCACATAAATTCCTAAAAATCCTTACTAAATTACGCTCCAGAACTTAACAGTCACCTCGGATGAAATAAGGGCCAACTTCGAAGTAATTAAAGAAGCTTAATTCCTGGGAAATTCAACTACATTAGATCAGACCAAAAGAACAAAATCATTTGATCACCCAAAAATTGTTGTCTTCTAAAAATATCATTATCAATAATGAAGAAAGGATCCCTAGTGACATCACCATCTTCCATGACAACCAATCAAAGACTTGAACGTATCACATTTGACGTGAGCACGACCATGCTCACTATTAGAAAAAAGTAATGAATACCTAGGTTGCATGTAATAATGATATAGATCATAAGCTACGACATGTAAAAAGAAGCAAAGACACAACTAGAAAGGCCGAGCGAAGATTTTCTCTATAGTACACTACAGTACACTACTTAATGAACTCACACCTCCATTTAGATTATTTTAGCAAAAACACTGTCATTTCACTAAATTTCTCTTCTTAAGTTGATTTTAATTGTCATACTAGTTTTAGTTATCAATAATATTAATTGAATAGTAAATCAAGAAATACAAATATTAGTGAGGTATTGTTGTTCAAAAATGTTACTACAACTTTGAGACTTCTATATATAGTGTAGATAATTTTTCAAATCCAAAAATTAACTCTTAAATTAAAATAAAATAATTCAATAATAAACTGAAAATAATTAAATACAATAAATAAACAGATTAATGTCCCGTTTGAGATGACTTTTGAGAAATTAAAAGAGAGGATAGCCCTAAACCCTACATTTCAAGATTAACTTTCAAAAAACATGGGGATTAAGTTTTATTTCAAAAATAAGTGGTAATTAGATTTTAATAATTATAAATAATAAAAATTTAATTAAAACTAATTTATGTACCCATCAACCACCCTATTCATTTCAAACCCTAAAACTTTTTCAACCATCGAAACTTGTCACTGGAAGCCGTCATCGAAAAACACTGTCAATGACACTACCGGAAGCTGTCGATAGGAGCGCCATTGAAGAAGCCATGCATTCCACTTTTTCTCCTTCTCTCTATTGCAACCGTGAGAACTACTACGTGTGACATCAGCAACACTACAATAGTTGCCTCTGTTCACTAGTGACGTTACAACAGTGGCTGCAATGCACTACGTGCAATGGCTGCGGGATCTGGTACATTGTGCGACCAGTGCCGTACCTGTGCTTCGCGGGGGCCTGAGGCGAACTTTGAAATTTGGGCCCTAGGCCCTAAGTCGTAGGAAACAATCCATTTTTAAAAAAAAAAAATAAAAAATTAGAAGTTTACGGAATTAAATTTGTTAACTTAAATCAACAATAAAACAACAAATAAATTTTTCAATGTTCCTTCCTTCTCTTCTCATTAAAGTATTTATTCGTTTCTTTTGAACGCATAGACATAGTAGGTCAAAAAAAAAAAAAAGTAAAAAATGGGCCCCCTAAAATTCTGGGCCTGAGGCGGAGGCCTCTTGGGCTTCCCATCAGGTCCGACCTTGTGTGCGACTTACTACATTGTGCTGTTTGATGAGCGGCATTGCAGGATCTGGTGCACCTGCGCGATTTGTTGTACAGTACTGTTTGATCTGGTAGCGTCGAAGTTTTTGGGGGTGATTTTTGTTGGTTGTATTGCGGTGGCTGTAGTGGTGTCGATGTTGAAGGCACTCGTGAGGTAGTGGTAGTGTTTGTAGTAGTGGTTGCAATAATTTTGGATCTGATTTGTTGGTGGTGTTTGGGTAGTGGTAGTTGTCATGTTGGTTTGGTTGCGGTGGTGAGGTTGTGCTCGTTTGGTTCTTGAATTTATTAGGCGTAGTGGTGGTAACGAAAATAAGGTGTGACCAAGTCTATCTTCATTATGGTTGTCTATGACCAGATCTGTGTTAACTGTATGTGACTTGTTTACCTACAGTCACAAATTAGACTGATATGGTCGCAAACTGTCACAATTGAAGACAAAGTTGGTCACAATTAGTCACAAATAACACAGGTCAGTGAATGTAGTAAAGTTAAAGGTAAAAGTAGTTGTGACTGGTGGTGGATTGTGGTATTGATTTACGGTGTATGAAGACTTGTTTGTAGTGACTCTTTGTAGGCAAGTATGTGCTTATTGTGAAACTAGTGGCCAATTCTGTGTTGATTGTGACTTGATTACATACAATCTCAGTTAATACTGACTTCATCACATACCATCGCAGTTAATTCTTTGTGGGGGATAGGTATGATGATTTCGTGATGTGAGATGTAATCTTCAAATTTTATTTTTGGAAATTTTTTGGAAGGCAGAGGGTGCGGTAGATGGTTTCGCGAGGGTAGGGTGTGATTCCAATTTTTAATTTCTGGATTTTTTTAAAACATAACGGTGGACTGGGGTGGGCTAGGGTAGGATAGGAAAGGGGTGCATGGGACGGGTGGGTGGACATATGGTGGTGGGGTTGGATTGGGATAATTAATTAACACTCGAATTTTGGAATAATTTGACAAGTTTTTAGTTTTGAAATATAATTCTTATAAGTAGGAGTTATGTATTGTTTCCAAATTAAAAATTGTTTTTGGACCCTTTGTGTTAATTTTATAAAAACACTTCTTCTAGTTAGTGGAGATTTTAGAGGAAATTGGTCTAATGTAATTTCCTTTAAAAGCATTTTAAGGATAGAAAGTTCTTTTAAAAATTTGTTTCAAAAAAATTTAAGTAGCTTTCTTAAAAAAAAAAAAAATAATAATAATACTCTTAAACAAGAAGAAAAACAGAAATAAAAGTAATGTAAAAGCAAAAGAAAAAACCAGCCTTGAAAAAGTTGAAACTTCAAAGACTGTGGCCACTTCCTTTTGAATAAGATCCATGCTTACAGAGAAACGGACCCCAGATTGTGCTTCAATAGTAAACTAAACAATAAAATATGCGTGAAAAAGAAAAGAAATATGCTTCAAAGTCAACGGATGGAAATAAGGAGTTCAGCCTCCTTTTATGTAGTTCTGCTTCAATGCTGAAGTTTTGCCGATCCAAATATTTCTTTTCGATCAAAATATTATTCTGAAAATATTACTTCCTTTTAGTTGTTATTCTGCTTATCTGAGTTTTGTGGGTCCAATTACTTGCAAAAAGTGGAATTGAAATGGCTCTTTCTTTTGAATATCTGTCCGAAATTGTGGGAAGCCCAGATATCCTTTCGCATCTTGGTCGAAAACCAAAAATTAGAAGATTTCAATGGAATGGCCCGCACTTTTTAGCCATTCTTCGCTATGCCGTAACACTGAACTCCAACTCGGAGCATGACAGATTTACTGATCTACTGAGGCGTCTTGAGGACTCAGCCTACTATTGCTTCCTCGGTAAGAACAGTATATATTACAAAAGATTTTTAGAAATGCTTCTCTTTCATGCCAAAGCTTTGGGAATTTTTGGCAGTTCCAAAGCCGCGGCAATATTTGTTTGATGCTGCTCTCAAGAAAAATGAACTAGTAGCAAGCTTTGTAGCCTTTCTGATTGAAGATCTAGGAGAAATACTGAATAGTGGGACAAATTCGGGTGTTCTGGTTAGTGATCAAATCAAAGTTCTTTTGAAGGAGCTTAAATTTCTGCTAACCTTTCTTGGTGATATACCCTTACAGTGCTCTAAGCCAGAATACAACAACATCATGACAGAAATAGAAGCTGTGGCTAACCAAGTAGGAAATTTTCTATGTACGTTCTTTTTCACGACAGATCGAATCACATTGGCCAAAATGGATCTGGTACTTTCAGATTTGTTACAAAGGATTGATATGGTGAAAACAGATATCAAAGAGCACTGCATCACAGTCTCAAATCTGCCATGTTTTACGAATCTAAACACAGCCGTGATTTCAGTATTCATTGTTGATTCTCTCCTTGATGATCTCAATGATCTAATAAATCATAAGCCTGTTCTCATTCTTGAAGTGAAGGATCAAATTACAGCTCTATACGAGGAACTAAATTACTCAAGATTCTTCCTTAAGGACATAGACGTGCAGCACAATAAAGAATTAATTGAATGTGTAATGCGACTAAGAGACCTAGCATATGAGGCTGAATATATCATTAACTCGTTTGTGGTAGGAGAGGTTCCTGTTTGGTATCTAACCATGAGGCTCTCTTCAGTCATCCTGACTAATAGAGTCATCAGGACTAAACTCTCAGAAATCAAGATGAATTTGGGTATTGGAAGACTAGAAGTTGTAGAAAGTCCCAGAGAAGTATCATCCCAAAGAAAAAACATTCCCATGGTTGATGAGATCATTGTGGGCTTCGAAGATGAGAGAATACAAATTGCAAGCCAGCTTGTTGGAGGACCAAACTACCTTCAAATTATTTCCATCATTGGGATGCCTGGACTTGGTAAGACAACTTTAGCAAAGAAGTTATACAATGATTCCTCTGTCGTCTACCATTTCGATAAGCGTTCATGGACTGTTGTCTCTCAAACTTATCAAAAGAGAAAGCAATTGATTGACATTTTGAGTCCTATAACTGACCTTAGCCGGGACACAATCTTGAATATGGACAATGAGAGTTTGGCTGAAAACCTTTATAAAAATTTAAAAGGGAGAAGATACCTAATTATTATGGATGATATGTGGAGTAAAGAAGCATGGGATGATCTGAAAAGGTACTTTCCAAATGATAGGAACGGAAGCAGAATACTGTTCACCAGTCGGCTAAAAGATGTGGCTTTGCAAACTTCATCTCATGGCATTATTAATGAACTTCGTTTCCTATCGGTAGATGAGTGTTGGGATTTACTGCAGAAGAAGGTGTTCCAGAAAGAAGGTTGTCCTCCAAAACTGATAGACATCGGGAAGCAAATTGCAACAAACTGTCAGGGACTGCCACTTGCAGTAGTCGTAATATCAGCAGTTCTTGCAAATATGGAGAAAAAAGAAAGCTTATGGCAAGAAGTTGCGAGCAACTTAAGTTCTTACATTTTCGAAAACCCCAACAAGAACATACTCGACCTCAGTTACATGCATTTACCGATTCATTTGAAACCATGCTTCCTTTACTTTGGTGCATTTGAGGAGGACAGGGATATTCCAATTAGGAAGTTGTTATCCCTCTGGATTGCGGAAGGATTTGTACAAAAAAGGGAGCATAAGAGCTTGGAAGATGTAGCAGAAGAATATCTAATGGACCTTATTAACAGAAGCCTAGTACAAGTTTCCAAAAGAAGATCCGACAGTGGAGTTAAAGCTTGTAGTATTCATGATCTTATACGTGATATGTGCTTGAGAATAGCTAAAGAAGAAAACTTTCTCAAGGTGATAAAAAAGTAAGTTCACTCACCCTCTCTCTCTTTTCGCTTTTCATTTTGTTTTCATTTTCCATTTTAGTCTACTGATCATGGTAATGTCAATGCTTCTGCTGTTCATGACAATGATGGTTGATGCGGTTATGATGATCCACTATAATTCTTATGATTCTACTTCTCTAGTCAATTTTCAATATACGAGCAACATCAACACCTATGCATCCACTCTAATTTTGGCAATTCTAAGTCTAGACTATTTGGCCTCCATATCCGCTCTTTGCTGGGCTATTTTGTCAGTCCATTATTCATTGTACCCAGTTTAAAACTTCTAAGGGTCTTGGAGTTGTTAACCGCAAATGGAATTAAGTCTCATCTAGTAATGGGAATCGAATTCCTGGTTTACTTGAGGTACTTGGCTATTCCATGGTTACCATCATCAATATCCAGACTTGATAGCCTAGAATTTCTTGTTCTAGGGCGCGCGGATGTTATACCACCACTCCTCAATATGCCTAAGTTGAGGTGTCTACATGTCGTAACCCTCGTAAGTTTCAGTAAAAATTGTCAGAGATCCCAAATGAATAGCCTACAAACTCTTTCCTGTGTTCATATTATTCATTTGAAAGATGAAGATGTCTTGAGATGCTTTCCCAATCTTCGTCGCCTTAAATGCACATATAACCAATCCTGGAATCGCTGTCCAGATCTCAGTTTCCTTGCTCAGCTTGAATCACTCAGTTTAGTCTTCTTAGGTAACTCCAAAGAGATAAAATTGCCCATGAATATCAAAAAGCTTACTCTATCTAACATTCGTTTACCTTTCGAAAAGATGTCATTAATCGGGACATTGCCCAACCTTGAGATACTCAAATTAGAATGTGATGCCTTTGAGGGACGAAGCTGGAACACAAAGGATGATGAGTTCCAGAAACTCAAATTCTTGAAACTAGAAAGGCTAAAACTTGCTCAGTGGAATGCCTCAAGCAGTCATTTCCCAATGCTCGAACGATTGGTTTTGCAAAATTGCTACAATCTGAGAAAGATCCCTTCTGAATTAAGCGATATTCCCACGCTGCAGATGATTGAGGTACATTGCTGTGACATATATGTCAGAAATTCTGTTATGAAAATTCAGCAAGAACAACTGGACAATGGAAATCAAGAGCTTAAAGTTATCATCTCCGGCACTGTCTGGTAAACAAATGATGTTATCCTCAAATATTCATTTAAGTATATTGAAACTAAGACATAATGCCTACAGGCACTTCAACCATTGAAATGGCAGCTAATTATTTCTCCCTTGAACAGGAACTTCATCTTAAAAAGGACCTTCAGCTTAAGTACTCGCTGGTGGCGAAGAACAGCCGGAACTCTTGTAGATGCAGGATCTAGTATACACTCTAGTAAGTCAAAGTTCATCTGATTCTCTTCTTTTTGTATTTGACAAAAATATAATCTTTATTTATTTGATATATTTTGAACAAGTTTTTATTGTCCTGGCAGGAGATCCCTGAGGGCAAATAGTGCTCAATGACTTGATAATATTGCAGGTCGTAGATTAGGTTAGATTTGTATGCACTCCTCTTGGTTCTTTTGCTTGTTATTTTCTTTTTAATATTTTGATGTATTCTCTCCTTTTGTATCTGGCCGATTTCAATCTTATCCCTCCCTTGAAAATCTTTTTGTACAGTATGAAATGACACTCGGTTGCATTCAACTTTATTCATACATTTCACACATTTTTGCACCTCTCAATATGCAACTTACTAACATTTAACAATTAGAAAACTTAAATAAAGCCCTCAACAAAGACATTATTTGAGAGATACATTTGACTTTTTAAAGAGAGACCCTCAATTTGAAGATAATCGATGCAAAATGAAGTTTCAAGTATAAAATGACCAAAAGAAGGAAAATGAAGAACTTGGTATATCAATGGAAAGATAAATATTGGAGTTTGACCCCCAAAACATATTACAATTTAGAAATGTGAATCAAAAGTTATGCGAATTTACCAGTTCGACATTTATGATTTTTGTCTTAAAATTAAGTGCTTTTTGGGTATTTTGTGAGTCACAATTTTCAAGAGATATCAAGGCTATATAGAGAGAATCTAGGTCAAGAAAAGAGGAGAGATCCATATCATTATACTTCTTAGGAAACATCATAGATAAATTTTAGGAGGCAAAACACAAGAGTTCTCTCATTGAAGAAGAAATTATCGTTATGTTTTTTTGGAGTCAAAGCAAGATATTCTAGATCCAAGGAAGATATTCAATGATTGAAGGTTTATTTCCAATTATTGTCTCATTATTTTGAAATTCGTTTTGTATTCTAATTTAAATATATGCTCTCTCAATTCAATCACGATCCACTAGACTTTTTGTAGTTAGGATTAATAATGAAACCTTGTTAACTCTTTGATTAATTAGTTTATACAAAATCTTCAGATATCTCAAAGGTATCCTTGAAAAAGGACTTTTCTTCAAGAAAAATGAAATGAAAGAAGTATAAATCATTAATAATGCGAGCAAGATCAATAGAATATAAGATATCAACTACTGACTATTGTACCTTCTTATAGGAAAATTTGGTAATTAAAAAAGTGAGAAGCAGAATGCATAGCCAAAAACAGTACTGAAACTGAATTTAGAGTAGCTGCACAAGGAATATGCAAAGGACTTTGGATAAAGAAAATGTTGGAAGAATTACTAGCTATGGTCAAATTTTTAATCAAACTCTATTGTGATAACAAAGTTGTTATCAATATTTTCCTCAATTTATTCCATCTAACCAAAGATGTAGAAGTAGATAGATACTTCATCAAAGAAGAAGTTGAATACATGATTATAAGCATGACCCATGTGCCTACAAAAGAACGAAATCCAGAGATATTTTCACCGAATGACTATCTTGACAAAATTTTGAGGATTTCATCTGCAAGTTCGATATAGTCAATATTAAAGATCCAACTTGATCGGGAGAATAGAAATCCTGAGAATTATATGGTTGATTGTGTATTATTGTATAATTGATTACGTACCTTATTTAAATAAGGTAAATTTTCCTTTTCCCTGTTTAGAAAAATACCTTTTGGTTCCCTTTTTTGTAATATAAATTGAGGCTCACAGGATTGTAAATATAATAAGAAAGCAATACAGAAATCTTGTATATATTAGTTCTAATCTATAGTTTACTTCCCCACTTGCCGTTTCATCCAATTGAGAGAATAATTCTTTATTCATACACAAGTGATTACTGTAGCCTGAATTCAAATACCATTCTCCAAAGACCTCCTTTTTTCTTTTCTTTCTTTTCTTTTTTTTTTTTTTTTGAAGAAATGCAACAAGATAACAAGTTTTCTTTCTCCTGTGCCTTATCAGCATAATGAACATGCTCAAAAATATATATACGCAGTTTAACTCTATAATCTGATTGATAATGGCCATCTTTTTTACAACGAAATCATTGAATTTTGGACTTGTTGAAGTACCTTTTATATTCGGAAGTGTGCTGGCTAGAGTTCCTTTTCTAAGAGAATATAGTACCTTTGAGCCCATTTCCACCATTGGGATTACTCTCAAAATTTCTTGAGCTAGTCAATTTAACCTTACTTTGAAAAGCTTGTTCCACTACATTTATTTCTAGGTTATTCATTCTATGTTCACGAAAACACAATGAACTCTACAACCGTTCAACAATCACGGTTAAAAACCCCTCCTTCAATTACAGTAACCACATAATCGATACTATCTGTTAAGGGCCGTGCAATCTTTCAACAACGTGTATCTCATCTAATTTTCACCAAACACCCACAATTGATTAACCCTAGACTAAACTCGGGAAATATAATTAGAGAGTTTCAGAATTTTTTTAAAAGAGATTTTAACTCATCTCTTAAAGTTTGCAACCTTACACTCTTCGCCTTTTTGTCACCTTTGTAGGAATTTTACATCTTCCATGCCTCATTAGCTATAGTTGCACTTGAGATCTTGAAGATGACCTCATCTACAGATTGGTAAAGGAGATATAAAGCCTTCTCATGCTTCTTGTTCTCCCTCAAGCTATCCTTCCAACCTTAAGTAAGAGCTATTACAGCAGCTTGATCAGTTAGTTTCATATATCCAAGTTCAATAATCTCATAGAGCTCTTGAAAGCCAAACTGTAAAGAATTTCGGTTGATTTGTAAACTAAATTTGAAATAAAATCGACAACACACAATGAAAACAGAAGAAGTAACACAAGAACACCGAATTGTTGACCCAGTTCAACCGTAAATAGGCTTAATCTGGGGGCTCAGGGGTAGCCCGTTCCACTATGGCACAATCTACATTCAAAGAGAGCAAGAGTATATCAAGAACCACTCAAATCTTACAGTTTCAGTCACCGATCTAAAAGATCTCGTGAAACACATAAACCACGAAATCAACCAATCATTTAGGAGTTTTACAATACAAGATCAGCCACTCTCTCTGGCCTGATCATTAATCCAAAATATGAACTTCATAACCAGGTCGCAGAAACCATACACTTTGAGAAAATTTACAGACTCAAAAAACTCAAGATGAAGCAGAGAGAGAGATGCCGAAGAGAGAGAGGGAAAAATCTGGAATATCCACCAAAAGTCACGAGACTTTTGGGTGTAATAGGACGGTTCACATCCGTGTAATAGGACAGTTCACATCCCAGGGTTAATCTCAACCCTTGATTTAATCCAATGATCCACAACGAGTCTCAACTAGCACAATCCAAGTGAGTATCAAGTATCCAATAGTCGAATGCCAATTAGGCAGAATTTTCCAAGTAAGCCGAAAACCTAATTGACAAAAGTAGCACTCGTTTTAGAGTGTTTTGAGAAACACCATTTTTCACACAAACAAATCATTCAAATAGATACAACATTGATCAAAATTTTTCCCACAAAACCTCGGAAGTTAAGGCTGGATTGAACCATTCATTATTGTAACCTAATTACAAGCAGTCTAGAACAACAAACGAAACTCTGGATATTTCAGGCTCTAATACCAGATGCAGGAAATTAAATTCAAAATAATTTCCAAGCATAAGATCTTAGAAGTAAAAACTTAGTAGGAAAAATGAATGAGAGAAGAAGAAAATTTCTAATTGACGAAATGATAACAGAAGAATAGTATCATCAGCTATTTATAACAAATTACAAGCTAAACAAATTAAATCAAGTTCTCAAAAAAAACACAACTAATTGACCCACTAAAGCCCTATTTTATTGGCATAACGAAGAAACTGAAAAACGGCCTCCTACTAATCTGCAAGAGTTATGACATCGGACTTAATCAACATGGCTCAGTAATAAAAATAAATAAAAAGGGGGAAAACGGAAAAGAAAAAGAGGACCATTTGAGTATAATTTCTAACAATTGCTGACACTAAACCAAGAAATATATTAATTATAGTACAGCATTTGAGATGAGTCACAACTGATCGAAGGGGAAGTGACGAATATTAGCAGAATCCATTTTCCATATCTTGACAGATGCTGTGACATTCACTCCTGTGGCATTGTTGAACAAGAAAACTCGTGAGGCTCCATTGATCACCTTTGTCGGATAAATTCGCGATGTTACGACTGTTCTTCCTCCTTGAGCAAAGCTCTCCACTATGGAGTGATCAACCTGAATTTATTATTAAGAATGGAGTTTTCAAATTGTATCAGATTAAGTGAATTACTGGATACTGATAGAACATCACATACGGAGTGGTTTTGAAGACTAAATTTTGATTATTGCAAGGTAAATTGAGCCAAAACAGAGAACTTGTGGTCGTGTGAACGTACATGATACAAATAATACATGGGTTTTTCAAAACAGTTTTCATGAACTCCAATACGATGGTATATTTGCTAAGGTGGACTAGACAACACTAAATAATATTAACGAAATAAAAAAGCCAAAATCTTGCTCACTCTGGTGTTCAGTATTGGCTAGTACTGAATACTAAAACATGACGAGTGTAAATTATCTTTCTCCTTTTTCTAAGCCTCCGACTTTCTGTTTCAATAAAGAAAATCTCTTTGAAGCATTAATATACTTGATAAACATAAATGAGATTTCTAAGACTCCAACTTTCTGTTACAATAAAACCAAGCACATAAAGCATTAATTTGCTTGCTTGATAATCATAAAGCAGTATGACAACCGAATAGACTAGAACCAGGCAATGAGAAGCTAGAAAGGGAAGGGATGAAAAATTAAAATATGATCAATTATTACATACCAATGATCTCAGGGAGTATTTTTCACCATCGAGCACAGGGACTTTGCTCCCATAGACTACTCTGTCAACTTCAGGAGCTTTTGATGATCTGCATCAGAAATATGTAGTAATAATTTTTTTTCCCAAGTTAGCTACAAGCATAAATTTGCTTATGCAAACCGATAAGAAGTGACTTCTAAACCAAACTTCTAGTTTCATCAAGCCTTCAAATGCTGATGAAGAGTACAAAATAGCTATAAACCACGAGGTAAGGTAACAATGGGACAAAATATACATCAAAGCTGGACAAGCACCTACACTAGTAAATTATTCGGTAAGGTTTAACTACTGGGTTATCCATCACTCTTTTGAAAGTAAAGAAAATTTAGAAAGTTTTAGTTAAAATTTACATAAAATGACGTATATTCTCCCTCGCTTTGCCTTGATCACAGGAGGGGCATTAGAGACATCCTGACCCACTTTTCT